TATTATTATTTTATAAATAATCTGATGTATCACAGAATTGATGTATCACAGAGGAAGTTACCACCCTACCTAATAACTCTTCAGAAGTATTATTTCCAAGCCATGGTATCAGAGCAGTAAAACAGGGAATAGCTATTCAATGGTTTGCATTTCTACCCTATTCTTGAACTACATTAAAGCCTATTGCTCACTCACAAATAACAATAAATATAGTCTCAAAAAAGCCCTCTGAAAAAAACAATTATCTATATATTCTCTTCTCAAAAGGCACATAGCATGGTCCTGCAAATCCAATTTGGAAACTTTTTTCAAGATTCCAGAAATATACTGGGAGCAGACCATAAAAGCAGACATACACAATTTGCATGAACACTAGTGAAACATCTGTACACTGTATTTTCAAGTTCACTCTGTAATGTTATTCATTACTGACCAATATTACTCCAAAAGAGTCAATAAAAGAATAAAACCAGCAAATAACGGCTATCAAGTTTCCAATTTCTTAACATCAGGACTGTTTATCTTTTGATTTTTACACAGGATCAAGTGTCACCAAGTGGCACACTATGATGATTTTCTTAATTTACTGGTAGTTCATGCTACTTACATTTTCTTGCCACAAGTGTCCAACACCAGGAAATTCAGAGATGATTAACAGCAGTCTTCATTTATTTCAAAGTGAAAGCTAGTTACTTACTTCCATAATATCCTCTAAATTCTCCTCAGCATCTGCTTTTTCAGTCATCAGTTTGGCAGCTTTGAAATAGGTCTTCATGAGTAGATAACCCCTCTTGGCCCCGTTCCAGTGAGAACGGGGAATTTCCACCAAACCATAACCCAAAAGCAACACAAGAAGAAAGAGACCCCATGTGTTTGCAGCAGCTATCCCAATAGTCTGAAGTTGGTTCCTAAGGAAAAAAAAAATAGCAAAAAGAAGTAAGAAACAAATAACATCCTCCTACCCACCTGCAAGAAAGCAACCTTGAATTATCTATGCAACAACATGGCTTTCAAGTTTACAGGAACAGACTTGGCATCATGTGTAGTTCTTGCCTAGGGCCAGTTTGCTACTTGCCTGTATTTAAAGCTGTCACAATTTTTCTGTATCTCCCCATGTTTCTTCCCTCCAGAGAGGGAGGACAAAAATGTTTATTCTGAAAGGAGTATGTTCCTTTAGGAAACAACATGAACTTAGCAAACTTATTGAAAGTGAGGTACATGACAGTGTTTACTACTGTATCTAATATGGAAGACCACTAGCAATGTTATAAATACAAATTATTTTAACTTACCTGATGGCCTTTAAATAGAATCAAGAGTAGACAAAAGTACTACACAGGAAAGTGTGACACAGACTTTTTGAAAAATCTTATTCTGAAAACACTGAGCAAGTTTCTGCACTAACTTTGCAAATGCATTCGTAGAGAAAAAAACCCAAACATTACAATATAAGAGGATTCCTCTGCTGTACATATCAAAATCAGAAAACCAAAACAAATTTCTACAAGTAGTCAAAAAATCCTTTTCCATAAAAATGTTAATAAAACTTTCCAACTGCCTAGCAAAAATAAGATCAACTAAAATTGTTTTTTTAAAAAGACCCATTTCATCTACAAAAGAGATTACCTGTGACAATTTCATAAGGACTCATGCAACTGCTTACAACATTATTCTTACCATTGTAAATTGAAGTTTGGGTTTACAGCCACATATATTAAAAATGCTCCAAAAATCAGTAAGTAAGTGCCATAATAGATTGCATTCTCAATCAATGCAGTTTTAATCTTTCCAGTAATGGAGAACCCTCCTGATCTAGCATATGACTGCATGAAAGGTAGCAGAATCCTAGGAGGAAAACAAACAAGGGGTTTAAGCTAAAGACTCCCAAGCTTCTATCAAAATTAGGTAGATACATGTTTTTATTCTAGATGTAGTTGTCTGATATTAAACCTTAAACAAGCTGCAGATATAACCAATACAGTCGCTTTACTATGAAAAATCTGTGTTAATTGAGAACTCACTACCAACCCTGATATTCTTGACTGAGCTACAAAAATAATTGTTTGATGATAGGCTTGTCAGAAACCACACATCAATCTAACCCAAAAGCACAGACAATCTGTTTGCTGTAACTATATCTATAGCTTTATATATCATATCAAATAAAACCAAATAGTTTACAATACTATTCAAAAATTATGCAACTTATTCATAGAACTATTTTGGTCTCCTGTTGCCTAAAACCCATTTTTTTCCAGACAATCTATCCGTAAACACCTCTATGTGTAAATTGCTCAGTTTCAACTATAAAAGTGAACCAAGAGTAAATGGCTGCCACCTGAAAAGGAGAAAAAAAAAATGTATGCTCAATTTAGTACAGTAATTATTAGAGAAATTTCACTACTAGCAAATAATATATGATTAGATAATTCTGTGGAATAGTGATATATATTCTTAAAGAGCACACTGCTAAGATGTTGCACTTGGAAATTATAGCTATATCATAGTCTTTGCCATATTTTTTGCCTTACTTACCATGTTAAAAACTGTGACGTCCAATATACAACACGCCAGAAAATTGGCATAATTCCATTAGGAATATAACTCCATGGTTTGAAACATTTTTGCTTGCTGTAACAACGTAAAGAAGCTTATAGTTAATTGTAGGGCCAACACTAAAAAACCATTTTCTACAAATTCTCCGATCTACAGAGGTCTTTGAAAATAGTAGTCTTTTGAAAATAGAAGTAATACACTACAATTTGAGTAAGTAGTCAACCATCAACCATCTCAGAAGAAAACAGACTGAATCACCACTTAAAAATATTTATCATTCTCCTCACCGCAAGTAAGGTATCTAGACAAGACAGTTTTCTTTGAGAAAAAAACAGTAGCTCAAAGACTAAAGAGAAATAAGCACTTAAGCAATTTAAAGTTACAATTTTTCTTTTTGGGGCAGGAAGTACTTTCTTCATGTAAAAAAACATTTCTGTAGACAGACCATTCAACTTTAGTTAGTGCAGCAGGTTTTTAAAAAATATTTAGGGAGCCTATCACCTAGCTCTACTACCTAGAGCATTTAACAGTAAAAAAAGTGTATTAATGGTTTCTTCTGTCATCCAGATGGATTTAGTCAGGCTTATATAAACTTCAACCTGTTGAGCCAATACTTTTCTGACAGGTAGTGTTTGCTTCTGAAGACCAAAAAAGCCATGAGAGCCTTTTAATAAAAAAAGAGCAAAAGAGAAAGTGCCCATCCACACTAAGACATTTCAGGGTTTTTTTCCCACACCTGTCTGAGTAATGAAGCAATGGTGAGTCAAGGGGTAATACAGTCAATTTAATAGGACTACCTATTGAGAAATAATTGGTGTTTTCCAGGGTCAAACTAGTTAGGCCTGAGTTGTGTGTTTTTATATATCCAGTCTAAATATTTTCAAAACTATCAAATTACCACAGAATGACAGGTAGCATGACCAAAGGTTTCAAGGAAAGTTTTAAGATCTGAGTTGCACCAACACAGTATCTCTAGGTTGACATTTCTATTTGATACACTCAAGTCCTATCCTATACTATAACATCCATCAGCATGTTCTGAAACTATAGGTAAACTGAAAGGCTAATGAATAGTTTTCAAATTGTGTATTTACATAACTACATCTAATTAACATACACTGGGTGGTCTTAAATAGAGGGTAAGATGTTGTGCCACCAAGTCTGGCATTATCTGTTCTTCCACGGATATACAACATCCAGATAGCCTCCCCTCTGGGGCAACAAAACTGGCAATATGTTGCATGGATGTATCTACTGACATCTTAAATGCTCTAATTCTCTTGCAGATAACCACACTGCACACATCTACAAGACGTGGATATAGCCAACAGAAGCTAAAGAACAAGCAGCCATGGAAAGAGCCCACATTTGCCTACATAACCCATGTTTTAGGGATTACTTCCTTCCTGCCAGAAGACAGTGAGCAGGCTATCATTACTTTGGTAGAATATAGTAAATTTCAAATAACTCCAGTTACTATACATATGCAATAATAATAAGCAATCAAATATGCTGCTTATATACAAGACAAGCCTCCTAATTTCATTTATAAGGTATAAAATTAGGTTTTCAGGTCTAAAGCCTTTAAGACTGTGAAGGACAGATATGCATTCACTACCGCCTCTCCTCACAGATAACCAAGGTTGCTTGAAAACCTTAGTTCTCTTGCTTGAACAACAAAATAGAAGAAATCTAGCATGAAATAAATAAATAAAAAAAAAAGGAATAGCTAGGTGATCGGTTAGAACTACTGTACAAATTACTACCAATAGATGCAGATGCAATTTTTTTCACCTCCTCCCTCACCCTCCTGTATGCTTACAATCTTCAAACATCATATCACACAAATAACACTTGTTTATTAGTCTTAAAAACACAGTAGACTCCTACAATTTAAAGAAGAAAATCATAAAATACTTCTTTAAAAACAATCTAATGAGGAAAACATATAGGTGATACCTTGGAGCAAGGGTAACGTAAGAGCCATTACTTTCTGCAGGGCTGGAGTTAACAGCAAGTTTGCACCGATTATAAATAGTCTAAAAGACAATTAGTTTTATATCAGTGACCAGAAAAAGGTACAATATTTATTTAAAAATAGTAAGTCCCATTTTTAAAGACATTTCCTGTACTCCACATTTACATTTGGGAGAAAATATACTAATAAACCCTCAAAGCAACATACAACATGCAGGACAAGTAAGTAAAAAACTGATTATGTTGCCTAGACAGATTAAAAAATTGCTATTAAAAAATAATAAAATTTTAAAACATTTGAAATAGAATTGTTATCTGATGAGATCAACAAAAAATTAAATTAATTGTAAACACTGACACTGTCGTGCAAAAAGGTAACACGTTTAGTTCAATAAGATACTCTTTGGAAAATTTATTTGCTATTTAAGATATTGTCTTATGAAATTATGATTAAAAAAATATCATACATTTCATGCAAATAAGAAGAAAATCTCAGAAGTTTCTTACCGTACTGACATCCAGAGGCAGTATAAATACAATAAGAAAGCAAAGATACCAAGCCAATAATGTTGCTATGATCACCAGCCTATGCTGTTTCTTGAAGTCCCCATACCGATGAAGTAGGAATAAGGCCAGAAAAAAGACAAATACTATCTCAAGGCCCAGTGCTGCACCACTCATTATTGAATGTTCACTCCAGCCACACAGTGCAGCTCACTTAAGAAAGCAGAACAGAACTGTAAGACAAAAATACATTTAATTACATTAAAATCTCTGGAAGATATTTAAGCAGAAAAGAGTTGTTTAACAGACATTTTTATATGTATGAATAGATTTTTCTTATTTCACAACAAGAACTCTGATCAGATGAAGAACAAGACTTTCAGTGAAGTGTTTTAAAGTCCTCTGCAGAAATCAAAATATCATGTTGTTCCAATTTTGTCATTTCAACATATTAGGGCAACTCCCCTTCCTCTTCTTCATATACAATAGATCCAAAAGTCAAATCCCTGTCCTTGAATAAGACTATAAGCCTAACTTTTAAGTCCAGTATATATTTCAAAAGAAAATATGTTCCTTTAGAAAAAATTAATTAGGACAAAGGTTTAAATGTTTAAATGAAATGTTTCTGGAAAGCTCTGTTAATGGACCATTCCTCAACTATGCATTTAAATTCTGTACTCAGAGTTAACAGAGCATAAAAATATCGCAAAGTATATGTTAGTCCACTTGTGATGTACCTTTTAGGTTTGAAATTTCATTTAGTAAGAGGAAACATGCTAATTAATTCACGTTCCTCCCCCTCTTCTGTTCTTCTTCAGAGAAACAAAGGTCTCAATTAATTCGCTATTGTTTTGCTGTGATATATTTTTGCTTTGTTCATCCGTCTGGCTTTAGTTACTCTGTATTATAGTCAGGTCTGCTAGAAATGCCTAGGAATTTCATACAACTTCATACAGGCATGCTATTATACAGTACACAAATCTATTAGAGAAAATTTCACTGACTTCTTACATCATTAGTTAAACTGCTTCTGACCTTTTTAATAAGCATCATTTTACCACAGGCACTTCACACAGGAAGAAAAAAAAAAATAAGTTTATTACTCTGGTCAAGTGGACTTGCTTCTCCATCAAGATTACCATTTTAGCTAGTTTGATTTAACTGAAATAGTTTTTGCTATGGCTTTCCCACTGTTGTATGTTCAGTGCTTTCACTTTTCAGTGGAACTTTGAGATTTAAAAGAAATGCTACTACTAAAGTTTCCCTTAATTTACTTTTAAATCCCTTCACAATCTGTTAAAGTGAACTATTTCCTTTACTAAGCTCTCAGCATACTGCTTAAAAAGATCGGTTATGTATGAAGGCACTAAGCAGTGAAAATTGTCTTATTTCCACTAAAAAATTCCAAAGTTTGTGATGCCAGTACTTCCTTGAAGACACATGGGACAATTTTTCTGTAATCTTTCCACGAAGATTTGTTTCCCCTCATTTTGCTTCTTTCACATTTGATTTCCAAATAGTGAGAGCAGTCTGTTTACTCCATATTGGCTGTTATACAGATCCCATACTCTGAAAATAGCTCGAGTTACCTTGTTTCTTATCAAAGATGCACACACTTAATTTTTATCTTCTGCCTTTCATTTAATGCATTTCTCAAATTACTAGCATTTCTGTTAGGTCAAAGCATCCCCTTACTATCTGCCTGCACTACACTTTGGCTAGATCACTTGTGCAGGATATCAAACCTATTTTTCAATTACTTACTCTAAGCAAGTCCTTGTCTATTATATTGTACCATTCTTGTTTCCTCTGAAAACAGTCTTTTGTATTGATAGATAGTAGCAAATTGCACCAAAATAATGAATGGAAAAGAAATACTATATATCTACTTCATTAAGGCAGTACTATCTGACAGATGGAGCTTTGGCTGCCAATTAAAGACACACCTTATACTATGTAAACAAAAAAAATTTTACAGCATACCCTCCATTTAGCCACACCTATACAATTTTTTACTACAGTCACGCCTAAAAAGCAGCTATCAAAACAACGTGAAAAGTTTTTGTGCAAGATGCTGTGCTCAGTTACTACCATGAGGGAACTTCCAAAAAGATTATAAACACGTACTGAATACGCTATGATAGAGAGATAATTGAGTCATACCACAACTCACTTTCAAAGCCAAAAGCAACTTCGCAGTTATCAAACTACATTTTTCTGTTCTTCACCTGGTTCCTATTTTAATCTCAAAATACAAAATGGAAGGCCTAATTTTTATGAGACTACATCGATGACAAATAGTTGTTTTGAAATAATGTATACACATTTTCAAAATTACAGCTCAAATTTTTTAGACAGAAACCACTTAAAACTAGTTCTGAGCACAAATATCTTACATGGAAAAAATCCACAAGGTGAGAACCGCAAAACTTAAAGAGCAGCTCTTATTGTGAACTAAACCCTGCCTAATAGGACAGACATATCTGGGACCCGTACTACTAGATTTATTTGTACCAGGCCTTAAAAGATATTACTGCAGGCTATAAAGCCATGCCTTCCTATGGCAAGTAGCATTTGCCTCTAAACCTGCTGTCAGCTTAAAGAAAGTTCCTTATGCTTAATTCTGTTTCTTCATTTTATTAAACAGGCTTCTCACTATTAGCACCTGTCTCCCTTAGTATCAGCCAGCTGAAATTCCTGAACACCTAAATATGTTCTCCTGAGATCAATGAACTACTTCTGAAGAGTTCTCTCATACTGCACAACCTACTGCTCCTATTAAGCAATGACAAGTAACAAAATCCTTCACTCTGAAGGGAAGAGTATCCACTGGCATACTATGTTTCTGAACAGTAAAGGCAGCTACGGATTAATACAAGTAAGATCAAAAACTGAAACTCTGGCACTGGAAGTGCAACTTAACCAATAAAAGACAAGGACATCCTCTTGTGTAGGCTTAGGATTTTCTTGCTTTGTTTCAGACATAGATAAAATCAGTAAGTTTTTAATTTTGTGAAGGGAAGAGTTTGGTTACGCCCCATATAATACATACATTTCAAAATTCTGACGTGAAATCGTCTGGAGTCCAAACCCAGCTAATAACTCTTTGCAAGCGCCGTAAAGGGCTCAGATCACACTTAATTCCCTTGGAGACTCCATACTATCATCAGTATTAAATTACCTTGCCAACCTCAAGACTAACCACACTCATGACCATCTACATTACAAATTAACTAACTACTCTGTCTGGTACAGAAATACTCAAGTTACTAAATGAAACATCAGAGACTTAAAAAACCACATTTTCTTAGGGCTTTTATACAGCACCAAATTTAACAACAAAGACACTCCAATATTATATTCTTAAAAGAGAGCTAAAATGAGTAGAGCATATCTGTGAAGAAAGCACCTTGGTCTCACTAAAGTGGACTCCAATATCCCTTTATTCAGAAAACCCAGATCAGACTGTACCACGGTTTTATTCCTTTCAAACTTTGCAGGAAAGCATTTTACCAGCAGATTGTTCATTCTGCAGACTAATGTAATTGGTGCTTCAACCCTTCCCAGTCAGTCTAATATCACACTTTCTGCAGATTTCTCATTGCTGCCCTTGACACTCTCCCCAGCTTACCCACTTCCTTCTACATTGAGCTGGAACCCATGCAGTATCCCAGCTAATGCCTGAGAATGCCTGGACCAAGGGTAAACATTGCTTCACATGCCTTACTGAAATGTATACATAGAAGTATAACCTGCATGATGTTCCCTTCATGTATTCAGGTTATTATGCCCTCTAAGAGATACAACACTGTTCTCTATCCTGCACTTGTATAGTCGATTGCTTCTGCTTAAGCACAGGCACAAAACTCTACTCACTTATACCCTTTCCCGTCCTGCAGTCTTCTGAATCTTCAAGGCACTTTGATTTCCACTACCACACTCAAAAAGGTCTGCAATCCCTCCTAGGTTTGTGCCGCCTGAAGTTTTAATAATCACATTATTCATTATGGACTCTTTGTGAAAATGCTGAAGAGTAGGTGACAAGGGACTGGCCTCCTTAATCACAACTATAGCTGTTCCCAACTGTTCTTGGGAAATATCCTGAGAAACAGAATGAAAAGTCCTATTAAAGACCAAATATAAGACATCAACTGATCCCCTCCTATACAGTTGGCCAATCAGTGAAATAAATTAGATTACTTCAACAATTTGTCCTTGACAAACTGATGCTGTCTTTTACTCAGCTGTTATATTCTAGATGCTTACAAACAGCTTTTGTCCCACAATTTTTTTCAGGAATTCAAAAGGAAACAGAGTAGTCTAATAATCACAGAGTAGTTCCCCCTGTCCTTCAAAAGTCAGTAATAAAGACAGTCACCTTGCTTCTGGTTTTCATATCTTTGATACCTCAGTCATTTTTAGAATACTACATCCCTTTTTGTTGTTCTTGAAATACTCTTGGGAAAAGTTACACTTCTGTAAATCTTGGATATTTCAATTAAAACTCTTGAAGTACCAAGCAGCTAGAGATATCCTTGCCTTGCTCTGTATTTTAAACACCATAATTATATCTGAAAAAAAAAAGTCACCAAGAAAGTTACCAAACTATTAAAGAGATAACAAAGACAGTAATGCACAAAACTGAATGAGAGCCACAGCATACCAAAAGAAACATCTGTGCGACAGCATCTCCCACCTCAAGCTGAATTCACAACTCAGAGGCAAGTATAAACTGAAAGCTGCCATCTCCAGCAAAATATCAATGGCCAGGTCAATAACAACCTTTTGCCTTTCTGTCAAGGAATAATTTGCTAGTTCCTATTGAGTTTATTCCAGCACAATTCACTTGGCAAAAGAAAAACAGTATGCCACAACACCTGTGATAGGTTTCTGAAGCCTGCCCTGCTCTGCAAAACTATGCTGTTAAGAATCCTAAAATATAACTTCACTTTACAGGCACAATTAAACCTTCTGGACTGATAGAACTGCCCCACACTAAGAGCCTTGTCACTTCATCTTTAAACAACAAAATGGGCTAGCTTCACTTTTAGAAATCTTAAAAAGAGAAGAACAAGAGGTCAAGCAACAATAAAAATAATCCTTTCGGCCATTTTCATATCCAAGTCCTCTTAGTGTGTTGTTGGGGTTTTTTTACTTCCTTATTACACATTGACCCT